CTGTGGCTCATTTAAAGAGAGGTGATTCCTTTTTTCTTCATTTTACTTACTGTATTTTATTACGTTTGACATACTCATCATACTCCATTGCAAATGTTTCCTAAAATATCTCTCCCATTACCCAATGTCCTCTCTAAGGGCAAAGACTACATGCCATCTGCTTTGCTGAATGGTACTTGTCATATATAATAGACAATAAAAGATCATAAAAATAAGAAATTACATGTCAAGATAGCTTAAGTTCTAGAAAAAATAGAAATGTTTTAGCCATTCCTAATTTTTATTGATACTACTAACTCTGAAGTGTTTGAAATATGCCACATCTATTCAATATTCTTTGATACTGAGGAGATAGCACAGAGCAAAGAAGTGCCTATCATTCATATAGTCTAATTTCATTACCATATAGAACCTCTGTCCTTACTGATCAGACTGTTAGGTTAGATGACTTTGTTTTCCACAGGGTCTTTTGCTGCTATGTCTCCTTCAGGGCTCAGCAGATGATACTTCACTTTTTTTCTTGACAAAGTATTTTCACACCCTCACCCATGCAGAAATGAGGTAGTATATCTAACTCAGAAGAAACACAAAGCATTAGCACATACAACGTGGTCTATAACTTCCAGTACAAAAGGCAGTGTAGCTCTGTGGTGGAGCAAGGGTTTTGCAACCAGAGAGAGCTAGCTTTAAGTACCGGCTCTGTGATTTTCTTGCTTTGTGAAATAGGGAGCCTCAGAACTTCATTTCAGCATATAGAAAACAGAGTAATTCATTCACAAAGGCAGTTAGGAGAACTTGGTGCAGTTCTTGGCACATAAACCTTTCAGTACATGGTTGCACCCACTGTTTTCAGGGAGCTTAGGTTTTAGTGACAGGACAAAGGTCATACCTAAAATACTTTGGAAATAATCACAACATTGGGTAATGAAATGTGGTACCCTGAGAAGGTTTGTTTGTGGGCTTGAAATAATCAGAAAATATTTCCAAAATAGAAAGAGTAATTTGAGAAGGGCTATAAAGGATGAGTAGGAATGGATTAGACAGAAATAGATAGGGCATCTCAAGAAACCAGTGAACAGTTTATGGAGGTCAGGCGAACATTAATTCATAAGACATTCAAGCCATGTCCAGTGTACAGAAAACAGAATCTGTTGCTGCTGTTATTGTCACTTCCCTTGGAGGGGACATGTAAGGCCATCAGGGAGCCAGGCTCAAAGACAAAGAACAGATGCAGAGAGAACTAGGTTTACAGTCTTCCCTGGTTCCCTCAGGGCTGCACTTGTAGCTCGCTGAATCCCAGGGCACGAGAGCTGTACATTCATCCAGCTGTCAGTCCAGATAGAGAATCCCTGCAGCTAAGGAGCTATGAGATTTCCCTTCAGCCTGGCCTGGTTAACACATAGAACTGGCCTGAGTAAATGCCCTTTGTTGTCAGTTATGGGAAACCGCTATGTCTTATGGAAAAGCTGCTCAAGCTGAGGCATTTTGAGAGCATCCTTCAATTCCTGCTCAAAGGCAGCAGAAACAAAGATATGTGCGTGTGGAAGAATAGAGCATTTAACTGCTCTCTGTAAGGTTGAAAAGAGGGAAGGTATGCAACCATATTTAACACATTGCAATGGTGTAGTTCATGAGGTTTTTCTAAACTAAGTGATTCCTGACCAAATGACAACAAATTCTAAACTTGGGTTGAAGCCAGGCACAGTGGCCCATGCCAGGCACAGTGGCTCCCAGCACTTTGGGAGACTGAAGTGGGCAGATCAGGTGAGCTCAGGAGTTCAAGATAAGCTTGGGCAACATGGTGAAACCCCGTCTCTACAAAATATACAAACAAACAAACAAACAAACAAAAATTAGCTAGGCATGGTGGCATGTGCCTGTAGTCTCAGCTACTATGGAGGTTGAATTGGGGGGGGTCACTTGAGCCTGAGAGATTGAGGCTGCAGTGAACTGTGATTATGCCGCTGCTCTCCAGCCGGGGTGACAGAGCAAGATTCTGTCTCAAAATAAATAAATAAGCAAACTTGAGTTTGAGTGGAGGTATATGAGATATGTCAAGGTTTCTCTTCAAACAGCCTGCTCAAACTTTTATTCTTTAATTCCCAATACCGCTCCCTCCTTCTTCTCCTTTTCTTCTTTCTGACTTTACTATGTGCCCAGGCATGCCACAGAACCAGTGATGTTATCAACAGCAGCTCACATTCCTTTCCTTATTTTAAAAAAGACTGACTCTCTAGTTTGCTGCAGATGACCCCTTCCTCCTCTCCCCTCTCTCCCATTGTGCATCCACCTTATCTAAAAAAACTTAAATATTTAGCCAGTCAAGTCTAGTTTAAATTATACAGTCCAACCCCGCCAATGGGGGAAAAGACACAAAGGCAAAAGTCACGTTAAAAATAAAAACTTCTACTCTCCTTTGTTCTAAGTACTCTAGTAGCAACCAGCCATAGGGGAGACATCCTTCTGCTCAAAAGTAAATTACTTTACAAAAAATCCTTTATCTAAGTGCTCGTTTTTCCTTAGGACTTTGAGCCTTATTTCTAACAAGGTGCATGTTCTTAGGTGTATGTGGTTACATAATAGCCCTTTGTGGCCAACTTCCTTGGCAAACATTTTACTGCACCTGCTCTCTCCAAGGTCACTAGTCATCTCCAGATTTGAAACTCATGATTTTCCCCCTCAGTTCTCAGCCTTCTTGCTCAAGCTACCTCATTTTCTCTTTCCTTTGACTATTTCCTTTGGAAGATTAAGATAATGCACCTTGTCTTAAAGCTGTTGGCTACTTTTCTTACCCAGTTACTTGAAGATAGGGAATATATCTTATTCATATTCCTAACCTGTCCACCACAGTAATTTTCAAGTACAAATGTTTAAACCAATGAATAGCTTTGCTCTTTACATATGAGTCAAGGACCTCTACAATGAGTTATGTTGCTTTGCCTTTCTAGTTTATACTCATCACAAATTTCTAATGGGCCTCTTTTCTAAGCATGAGCCAGTACCTTTGATTCCTGTTATTATCCACACAGGCCATTCTTGTGACTACATGCTCATGCATAAGTTTGGAAGAGCAATACTGGATATAGCATCGCTGAGCCATATGATATTATAGAGCTGAGTGAGAGTTTTGAAGCATCAGTGTGCCAGGAGCCAGCAGAATTGCAATCTCACCTTTATTCACCGAGTAACTTTAGGCAAGTCATTTATTTCCCAGTTTTTTTTGAAATAAGCAAACAAAACACAAGGAGGTATTTACCTGAGAGGTTTGTTACAAGGATCAAATTAAGGAATATTTGTGAAAATGCTCTGTAACACATAAAATGTTATATAAATTGGTTTAATGATGATATTGCAGAGTTTCACATTGAACTGTATGTTAAATTGGGGAAGATTTAATAGGGAAAATGAAGAAACATCAACCTGTTAAAAATATATTTTAACATAAATTACAATATATGTTATTTCCATAAAATGTAGCTTGACATTTGTGGGGAAATCATATTGTTGGTTTCAATCAACAGTTTCAAAAGCATTTTCTGCAGACACATGAATGAGTATTTTATTTATATACATTTGGAAAACACTGAATTAAAGTTCATCAAAATTCTGTTATAACTCCTTATACCTTTTAATTCAGTTTCATTGAGAAATTTCTAAAATGGGGGTGTTGAAGGTGTATGTGTTTGTATGTGTGTGTGTGTGTGTGTGTGTGTGTGTGTGTAGAATATATCTTGCCATATTTCCTAAAAATAGAAGAATAGAGAATGTCCTTCCATTTTTCTACAGAGCATCATGGATCTAGAATTCCATATAACATTTTAGAAAATGCCACTCTTGTGGCCCAAACTATTCTGTGACCCAATTAATTAGCTGGAAAATAGGCCTGCAGGAATAGTAGGTAACCTGTCAAAGATACTATATATTCTTGGGATGTGACCAAAATGCATGATCTAGCTTTAATTTGGTTTATCAGAGAAAGTCATTACCATGATATTCATTACTCTCAAGCAAATGGGCATCCTGAAAGGGAGACCCAGATGGCTGAGCTAAGATGTGGATGAGATTGGTTAGAAAGATTTACCAGGCTTTTCAATGATAATGTCAAAGAAACCACAGAAATCATCCCTGCTAACTACCCACTGAATCATTTCTTAATACTTGACCTTCTCCAACTAGACCTATGAGAGATCTTTTTTTTTAAATAAACCTATAGTTTTATTAAGACAAAAACTGACAGTGTAGTATGAAGTTTACATTTAAACAAAGTTTACACAGAAATCTAACACATGCCTAAAAGGATTTTACAATGTAGCTCTAGATGCAAGTCTAGACAATATCAAGAACTGATGGATCTCATGACTCAAGACAGAGCATTTTGGGTATCAGTTACTTCTTAGGATTTCTTAAAAAATTGTGTGTGTGTGTGTGTGTGTGTGTGTGTGTGTGTTTTAAAGTGAACCACTGCCCAATATGGAAGTTTAATCTTCTCCTGAGACCAAGGCTTTTGAAATCGCTAAACTCTTAGATCAATTCAGTGAAACTTGTGCTGTCAGTGACTGAAGCCAACAATGGTTTCAGAGTTCAAAGCTCAAAAAAGAGAATGGCTCCAAGAGTTTTCCCCACTAAGAGCACAGGCCCTTGTCTTACCCTACTGTCTTATCTCCTCTACCACCCTCTTCCTCTTCCCTAACACCTCAGCCAGTGGCTTGGATGAACAAGCTGATATTTATAACTTCGTTACTGGAAAAGAAAGTGTCTTCTAATTTTATTAGCACCTCTGAGACAGAATGATCTGCTTGTACTGTATACTCTCCAATAAAAGACTTTCCCTCCTCATCAATTTCCATCTCCAAAATGGCAACTTTGGTAACTTATGAAATGGCTTAGTCCTTTGTGGGAACAGCAATAAGTTTAGGCAGGGAACACCTTGGCTTATAGGTTTCAGACATTCACAGCTTTTAAACAGTCTCTCACAGTCCTTATTTATGGTGCCAATGACATTTTTTTTTAAGGTAAAATATTCTGGACATAGAAGCAAACCATTAGTTGTCTGTTCTTTTCCATTGCTTCACCATTTCCCCTATCAGGCCCCAAATGTTAATCAAAGTGATGCTACCCATCTCCCTTTCTCCCCTCCCCATCCCTCCCCCAAATAATACACCAGTAATAGCCAAAGACTACACACATGCTACGCTGTAAAAATGCAGAGTTAACACTATTGGGAAGAAGGCTGTGGGTTGTGGAGATGCTCTTTGAAGATCTACAGTATTTTTTTTGCTCTCCCACACACCCAATTCTGCAAGTTTTGTCCTTCATAGAAGGCCTTTTGCTTTTCTCAGCAAAGTGCAGAAAAGATTGCCTTGAAACACTTATCCCCTTTCCCCTCCACTGGGATGGGTGTGCAAACTATACAGCTTGAAATGGCTTTAAAGCACTTGGGCTGCTGCAGGGCACAGAAACTATACTGGCTCTTCAAAGGACATCTTCTCAAGCCACCTCTATGGTGTCAAGACAAGTAGAACTCCTTCCCTTCCCACCTGAAACCCAGTCAGATGTGACAGGGGCTGGTACTCAGGAGCGTTAATTCTCGTCATCTTTTTTGTCATCATCCTCCGAGGGGTGGGAATGCCACGTCAGCCTTTCCTCATAGAAGGATATGACAACCTGTGGGCACTTGACATTGGCTTCCTTGGCAGGGACCAGGTCAGCCTCATCAGAGTTTTTCCATTTCATCAGGAACATGAGCTCTCCACTGGAGTCTGTAGCTCCAATAATCTGCTCCGGCTCCAAACCTCGAGCAAAGCCTCGTGGCTTTTCTGACTCTTCTTTCTTCTTCTTTGGTTTGCTCTCCTCTCCCTTATCTTCAGAATCAGAATCAGCTTTGCGCTTGCCTCCCTCTGATTTATCTGTCTCATGTGCTGTTTTCTGTGACTGCAGAAACTCAGCAATGAGGTCGGGGCAATCCAGGTTTTCTTCTGGCTCCCATGTGTTGTCCTCATCTGAGAACCCCTTCCACTTTAGGAGGTACTCCACTTTGCCCTTTACCACTCGACGGTCGAGAACTTTTTCCACCACATATTCCTCTTCCTCCTCTTCTAGCACCTCCTCCACTTTCTTCTTGTTTTGTTTTTTCCCCATAGTGCCCGCCAGCTTTCTGGTGTAAAGGGTGACGCTGCTCAGAGCAGCGCCCAAGAGCCCGAGAGGAATCGATGCTGCGCTACTGGCGCGTCGCGTCGGGTCGAGTGGGGGAGTGGCGCCCAGGAAGGCAGCAAGCCGGGTGGCCGCAGTGGAGCCCCTCACTGAAGCGGCGTACCGCAGGCCCCAGCCTGAGAGATCTTAAAAGAAAAATGTAAGTTTACAATATTCTATTTGGACACACTTTTTGTCATTCATTCTTTTCTGAAAGAATTTACAAGGTATTTGCACCAATGGAAATCACAAGTCTTGGGTTCTAAAAGGCTAAGAATAAAGCTTGGGTTGGGGTAGCTTTTGCCATACATTTGATAAGAAGGCCTATCTACCAAGACAAGCTGAGAGTACTAAAAATATTAGAAAAAGGGTCACAAATGGGCAGTTCACTAGCTGCCTTTAGCACTCAGATATTATCTGTTTGGGGCACAGAGTGTTTTAAAAACTAAGTAATTATGTCACAATTGAGATCTTGAAAAATTCAGAGACTCAGCAATATAGGGCTACATTTCTGTGTGAAGACCATCGGTGATAGCTGAGCAGTATTTGTTTAGATGGGGCATATGCTTCCAATTTACCTTGGTCCTTAATTCTTTTTGGTTTTGGATGTGAGCTATTTCACTGAATTATTTTCACCTGCTTGGCCCTATAGTATTTTATGGTTGGTATCTTCTGTATTAGTAGTATTGTTATTCAGGGCCTTCTAGCATGAATACTTCTTCCAACCATTCTACTTAGGAACACACACACTATTAGTAGCAATGTAAATTGGTACAAGTACTATGGAAACCAATACAGAAGTTCCCTGAAAAACAACAAGTAGAACTACCATATGCTCCAGCAATTCCACCACTGGGTATATATCCAATACAGTGGAAATCAATATATTAAAGAGCTGTCTGCCCTCTCCTGTTTATTTTACCACTATTCACCATCGCCAAGATATGGAATCAACCTAAGAGTCCATCAGAAGAGGAATGGATAAATAAAATGTGGCACCTTTATACAATAGAATATTATTCAACCATAAAAGTAATAAAATGCTGTCATTTGCAGCAACATGGATGGAGTTGAAGGTTATTATGTTAATTGAAATAAGTCAAGCACAGAGAGACAAATACTGTGTGTTCTCACTCATATGTGGGAGCTAAAAAAGTGGATATCACAAAGATAGGAGTAGATTGGTAGTTATCAGAGGCCAGGAAGGGTAGTAGGGAGGAGGGGAAAAAAGGGTGATCAATGCAGGGGTCCCTATCCCCCAAGTTCTGGACCAGTACTGGTCTGTTAGGAACCCAGCGGCACAGCAGGAGATGAGTGGATGAGCGAGCATTACTGCCTGAGCTCTACCTCAAGTCAGATCAGCTGTGACAGTAAATTCTCACGGGAGCACAAATCCTGTTATGAACTGTGCATGCGAGGGATCTAGGTTGTGTGCTCCTTATAAGAATCTAACTAATGCCTGGTAATCTGAGGTGGAACAGTTTCATCTTGAAACCACCCACATCCATTCCCCCACCCCCGTCCGTAGAGAAATGGAAAATTGGCTTATATCAAACCAGTCCCTCATGCCAAAAATGTTGGAGACCACTGGATTAATGGGTACAAATATACAGTTAGGTTGGATGCAGTGGCTCACACCTGTAATCCCAGCACTTTGGGAGGCAGAGGTGAGAGGATCCCTTGAAATTAGGAGATCAAGACCAGCCTGGCCAACACAGGAAAACAAAACCCGGTCTCTACTAAAAATACAAAAATTAGCCAGGCGTGGCCACACACACCTGTAGTCCAGCTACTCAGGAGGCTGAGGCAGGAGAATAGCTTGAACCCGGGAGGCAGATGTTGCAGTGAGCCGAGATTGCGCCACTGCACTCCAGTCTGGGAGACAGACTCCATCTCAAAACAAACAAACAACAAACAAACAATCAAAAAAACAAGATATGGTTTGAAGAAATAAGACAGTGTTGAATTGATCAGTAAAGTGATTATGTTAGCAATAATCTATTGTACGTTTTAAAATAGATGAGAATGATCTGAATGTTTCTAGCAAAAAAGATGAATATTTAAGGTGATGGCTATCCCAGTTACCCTGACTTGATCTTTATACATTATATGAATGTATTAAATTATCATATGTACTCCCAAAAATGTACATCTGTGTCAGTAAAAAAAAAAGAAGAAGAAAAATAGTCTTTCTATGTTTGCCAAAATATTTACCATTTCTGATGCTTTTCATTCCTTCTTTAAAACTCTGAGATTCCATCTGGTATCATTTTCTTTCTGTCTAAGTACCTTTACCATTTCTTGCAGGGCATATCTGCTGGTGAAAAATTCTGTTAGTTATCAATTATTTGGAGATGACCTTCTCTTTCCTCCTTTCTTTTCCCTTTCCTTTCCCTTTTCTTTCCTTCTGCACTTTAAAGGTATTATTTTACTGTCTTCAGGACTTAGTTTTTTTTTTTACATTTTATTTATTTAGTTGACAAATGAAAAATGTATGTATTTATTATGTCCTTTAAAAATGTGTACATTGTGGAATGGATAAATTGAGCTAATTAATGTATATGTCACTTCACATACTTATGTGGTGAGAACTCTTAAAATCTACTCTTTTGGCAATTTTGAATAATACAATACATTGTTATTAACTACAGTCACCATGTTGTACAATAGATCTCTTGAATTTATTCCTAGCTAACTGAAAGTTGGCATCCTTTCAGCAACATCTCCCCAACTTTAGCTACTGCCACCCCTTCCTCCCAGCCCCTGGTAACACCACCATACTCCTCTTTACTTCTATGAGTTCAACTTTATTTTAGATTCTAAGTGTGTAAGTGAGATTATGTGGTATTTGTATTTCTGTGCCTGATTTATTTCACTTAACATAATGTCCTCCAAGTTCAGTCATGTTGTCACAAATGACAATATTTTCTTCTTTTTTAAAGCTGAGTAGTATTCCGTTGTGTACATATCACCACCTTTATCCATTCATTTGTTGATGGAGACAAACTAATTCTGTGTCTTGTTTGAACAGGCAATTAACTTGGACTGAAGTTGCAATCTGTCTCCTTAGCAAAAGGTATCATGCAGCTAAGGAGATGGTTTTCAACCTGAGTCCAAGTTATTGCCTGCTCAAAAAAGACGCCACATAGTGGCTTTTATTTCTATTGGTCCTCTTTAAAGATTGGGGTAGATATATTAGGAGCTCAGCATCTACTGTTAATTTAACTTGCAGACCTCTCAACTGAAATGCTTTGCACTGTTTTTCCTAACCTCCTCATTATGTCGACCTAACAATTTTAATCTTCAAATATATCATGCAGATTTACCAATTCAAAAACACAAAGATATATTTTAAAGCATGTTCTTTGAAGCTTAATTGGTAATTGCTATTTGCTAAAATTTCTGAAAAAATGTCAGCCAGGGTCTGGGTAAATAAATCATGATATATGTGTAAAAATTAATGATATCCAACTAGCTAAAAATAGACTTATGAGTCTTGGAATAAAAAGATTTCCAAAATATATTATATAGAAAAAGCAAGATAATAGGATTTGAACTCTGTATATACTTATATATGTAAAGCTATATATATAGAGTGTGTCTGGAGGTAATGGTGAAGGGAAACTTTTTGTTTTTTCTTTTTTAACCAGGGTATGCATTGATTTTTATAGTAAAAAAATAAAATTCGTGTCTCAAGGCTCTTCCTCAATATACCAATGGGGAGAAAAATAAATGTGAAAATTGAATCCTTAATATAGCTTTTTTTCTTTTTGCAACTTCCCCCTCTCACCTTTGCTAAATTTTACCTTTCAAGTCATTTTTGTAGAACTAGTGGGAAAAACCAATCTGAAGAGTAAAAAAACGAAAAAAAAAAAACCTCAACATTTTATTTTTTCCTTAACATAAAGGTCAGTGTTTTATTTCATACCTAGAATTTTCTGTTTTAAAGGCTGGGTTGAATAGTGCTTTCAGCAAAGAAGAAAGATAGAATTTATTTATTTATTTTTAAGTATGATGACTACAATCTTCTCTGTTACAAAAACCCACACCAAAGAGTTGACAAAATGATTTGCTGAAGGACATCATCCTGAGAAGATAAATAGACGTCGAAATGGTTTTGGCCTGAAAAATCAATTTGGTTGTCTATAGGCCTCATGGGAAGAAAATCACCTTTGCTGAGGAAAATATTATTTCTACCTCTGAGAGGGCCAAACCAGTATCAGGGAGGAGGGAAGCCTTTTTTTTTTTTGAAATGATGACACTTTCTCCAACAAAGATGAGTGTTTACAGAAAAATAGGGGACATATACTTATTTTTCTCAGCATTGAAGTAAAACCTTGTCCTTCTTTATTGTTTGCCCAGCTACAGGGCATTACTGACTTATATGTATAGGATAAAAAGGCAAAAAGCCATGTCATGCTGTGAGGGCAACAGACTGATGTCTTGGTGAAGAGAAACAAAAAACTTTGAAGGTGAGAGAAGAATAAGAGGGAAATGTAGTTGAAGAAGGACCAGCTGAGCAAACTCTTCCTGATTAAGAGTCGGCAGCTGGCTGCAGCTTTCTTCTCTGTGTTGGTTGACCCATGGGAACAACGATCACTATAGATTTTCTGTAAGGAGCAAGCAGAAGCACGAATAGCCTTCCACCAGCTTCTGGGAAAAGACTAGCCAGAGATCTCTGACTTGTCGCTAGCAGTCAGATTGGAACAAGTTGATTTATTAGGATGAGGAGAGTCAGAATAAGAAGTGGAGGAAGAGGGATTAGGAAGATTTGGAAGAGTGAAGACCTAGTTCAAGAGGTATCATAGAAAAGAATGGATTGTTTGCGCTCTAAAACCAGCTGAGGGTTTAATGCAGATGATAGGAAGGGGATTGGCATCCATAAGCATCTTCTAATGGCAATATCCACAGGTGGTAGGTGTAGCCATCACCTTCTTCTTTTTAATCGATGAAGGAATGAAGATTCAGAGAGAGTAAGCCTTTTTTATATTGTCAAACACTATTAAGTAGTGGAGCCAGCTTTAGACCCACCTTTATTCCAAAGCCTGTATCCTGTCCACAAGGACATCTCTCTGTTACATTGGTGCAGCTAAGGAAGCTTATGACCAGCTCATATTTACCATTTACCGTCCT